TCACTCTCTTAATCTATCTATCTATCTATCTATCTATCTATCTATCTATCTATCTATCTATCTATCTATCTATCTATCTATCTATCTATCTATCTATCTATCTATCCCTTTCTTCCTCACAAAGTGGACAGCTTGCACCCGTCGGATGACTAAAATAAATCAGTAGCAGGGAGCGCCCTCGTTAAGCCCACATTCCCAGTTAATGTGTTAACGTTACTCGATACCCGCACAAAAAACAGAAGGTTTATTTATACCCTAAAAGAGTTAGCGAAACTCTTGGGCAAAATACCAATCTTGCTTTAGTCAAGAGCGAACCCACTCTTTCCCTCCTTGCTCTTGATTTGGTTCCAAGTGCTCTTCGAGGTGAACCGATATTGCGTCATAATGCGCAGTCTAGGATATTTCATACAAGTCTATGGCTGACTTCTGACCCGCTCTGTGTCCAGATATGGTCGCTTTTAAGGACAAGCGGGCTAACCCAGATTTCGGGAGTCTCCAGAAATCTTGACCTACACCAAAAGTGGGCATTTCCCTACCTATAGGAAAAGTTTGGTTTCATTGGTGTGTATATTTGTTTGGTTATAGAGAAAACCCTCCTTGTCTTTTAAAGAAACTGAACAAGGGGCAAAAACGTTACCTTCGATTTTCTCGAAACAACATTTTTCGGGATAGCCCCCTTGTTCTTAAAAGCGACCACATGAATGTTGAACTCAAATAAAACTTTCAAAAGAACAAGTAAGTAAAAAGGAACGAAACTAATAGACACGCAGAAAGTGCTCATACGTAAGACTTAACGTATACTGAATAATATATTCATTTTCTTCTGTGGAGCTTGTGTATATGTGTATGTGTGTGATTATGTGTGTATATGTGTGCGCGTGTGTGTGCGCGTGTGTGTGCGTGTGTATGCGTGTGTGTATGTGCGTGTGTATGCACGTGTGTGTGTGTGCGTGTGTGTGTGTGTGTGCGCGCGTGTGTGGGTGTATGTATGTATGTGTGTGTACGTGTATGTGTGCGTGTCTGTACGTATGTTTGTGTGTGTGTTTGTGAGAATGTACGCATGCCTTTGTGCGCACATAAAATGTGATTGCGTTCATATCTAAGCTAGAGCGATAACCTTTTTCTATGCTCACTTCCTAACTCATTAACTCAAAGGAAAAACTCTAAAAATCTCCTTCACATTCTTTTTCCAGCCAAGAGACACGGCATCCATGTGTTCACCATCGGAGTGGGGTCGAAGGTCAACGACCTTGAACTCAACCGCATGGCCAGCTACCCGTCCAAAGAGTACGCTTTTGTCGTCGGAGGCTTCCGTTTCCTGGATTCCATCAAGACCAAACTGGCAGTCCAGACGTGCAAAGGTCGGCCTCATCATTGTCCTCGTTATCATTATCATCTTCATCGATTGTCTTTTTTGTTCATCGTGAGCGAGGCCATGATATCTAATTAGTCACCACCCTCAATAATTTATTCGTCGCTTGTATCGGTGTTATTAATTAGTTCGTTTTAATTAGAAAAGGTTTTTACTGGACTAGATCTAATTGTTACACAATTTGCACATAATATTATAAGTGCCAAAGACTAGAAGTATTACTGGGGAGCAATAAACTCAAAAAAGACGGAAGAGAATTCAAGAAGAGATATGTTTCATAGAAGAGGAGGCGCAAACCACACCAGAACACTTCTCAACCACGAGATAAGGACGATAGATGTTTGATAGGAAAGAAGGCGCAAAGCACTCTAAAACACCCGCCAACCACTCACAAAATGTTAATGTCATTTATAGGAATTGATAATAGTTTAATCTTTTTTTTCCTTGTTTTAAGAATAGGTGTTATTGGTAATCAAAATTGTTTTGTTTTACTTTTGGACAAGGCCCCTGGAATGTGTGTTGTAGTTGTTACTGTCAGCATTTTTTATTTTATACTCCTTCACCATTGGCCTTTTTCATGGTCTCACCATGTTAAAGCTAGATATATGTACTAAAAATATTTGACGTTTCATCATCATCATCATCATCATCATCATCATCATCATCATCATCATCATCATCATCATCATCATCATCAGCCAGCAGCAGCAGC